CTTCCAACCCTGACAGTTCCATGATTCTGTACTGGTGAGGCTGTACCTTGAGTCCTGTGTTCAGTTTTGGGCCCCTCATGACGAGAAGGACATCAAGGTGCTGGACTGTGTCCAGAGAAGGGAAACGGAGCTGAGGAACGGTCTAGAGCATGTCTCTTGAGGGATCTGAGGGTGTTCAGCCTGGAAGAGACTCAGGGGAGACCTTCTTACTCTCTACAGCTCCCTGAAATGAGGTTGTAGTGAGGTAGGATCGATCTGTTCAACCAAATAACAAGTGGTAGGACAAGAGGACAAAGCCTCAGGTTGCACTGAGGGAGGTTGAGGTTGGATACTGGGGAGAATTTCCTTGCTGAAAGAGTTCTTGGGCATCGGAACGGGTTGCCCAGTGTGGTGGTGGAGTCCCCATCCCTGGAGGGATTTGAGGGTCACATAGACATAGCGCTTAGGGACATGGTTTGGTGAGAGACTTGTCAGTGTTAGGTTAATGATTGGACTTGGAGGATCTTAAAGGTCTTTTCCAATCTAGACAATTCTGTGATTCTGTGGCAGGCGTGGGAAAGCACCACTCGACTCCAGCCATGGGTGTCAGCCTGGTGGGATCACCCCTTGGCAGTGGGAGAGTCTGTGGTGTTCAGGCTGAAATCAGGCTTCCCACTGAACCCGTACCCCGTGGGACTGGGAGTGTGCAGATTCCTGCTCAGCCCCCTGAGAACAGGCGAGGCACAGAGGCGACGCACAGGGTTGTTACGTTAAATCCTGCATTCCAGGGCAAAGGGGCTTTCATTCCCCCTCCCTGCAATATCAAGCCCCCGTTCTGTGTGGCCAGATAGGGTGGGTGTGCAGGCTGGACTCGCCCTAATTGTCTGTCTGTCTGTCTGTCTTGCAGAATAACGATTTTCTCAGGAACACGGTGCATCGCCACGAGCCGCCGGTCACTGCCCAGCCTATCCAGATCTTGGCGGAGGACGATGAGGTGGTGGTTGTGGACAAACCCTCCTCTTTGCCCGTCCATCCCTGCGGCAGGTTTCGTCACAACACGGTCATCTTCATCCTAGGCAAAGAGCATGACCTGAAGGAGCTGCACACCATTCACCGCCTCGACCGCATGACCTCGGGAGTCCTGATGTTTGCCAAGACCACGGAGGTGTCCAAGAGAATCGATGAGCAGGTTCGGGAGCGACAGGTGAGAGCTAAGGGCTGCAGTATTAAGGGGTCTCTCGCATGGTATTTTCGTGAAATGGATCCAAAGTCAGTCAAATTTTTGGTCTAAATGAGCACAAGTTCCCAACACAGCTTGTTTTCACATTACTGTTCTCATCTTAAGCATAAGAGGCATCAAAAGGAAAAAAGAGCGACTGAAAATGTGAAGGGCTGTGGTGATAGGAGGTTGAAAGGGATCTCCTTCCCTACGGGAATGCGCAGACTGGCTGGGATTGTGCAAAACAGACAGCAGTACCGTGTGGGAGAGGAAATGTGTCAGTCATTGAACAAATTTTGTTCAATTTTAGAAATTTTGGAATTTCCTCTTCTTTTTCTAGTGACTCTTGACCCAGAGAGAAGAGGAGCTCCAGGGTACTAGCTTCCAGGGTTAGCTTCAAGGCCGTAAAGTGAAGGCCACTGAGAGATGGCTCTTAAATTTCCTATGAGGGAAATAGGCCAGACCCTTGCGTTCTTCATTTCCTGCCTAGTTGGGGAAAGCAAGAGAAATTCAGCTTTAAATAGCTGATTTCATTTTTTCCCCTTTCCTGTTCAGTTGTAATAAAATCTGGGCAATATGTTGCCTACAAATGTGTTTTACTGCAGAGAAAGAGAGGAGTAGCTGGGATGGGAGTTGGCTGTAATCAAGACAGAGACACTTTTCTGTTCCTTTTTCTGAGGGTTACCCTTGTGTCTCCCCGTAGCTGGAAAAGGAGTACGTCTGCCGTGTGGTGGGAGAGTTTCCAGAACACGAGGTGGTCTGTGAGGAGCCCATCCTGGTCGTTTCTTACAAAGTGGGAGTGTGCCGCGTGGACCCCAAAGGGAAATCCTGCAAAACCATCTTCCAGAGGCTCAGTTACAACGGCAAGACCAGCGTGGTCAAGTGTCTTCCTCTCACTGGCCGCACGCACCAGATCCGGGTCCACCTGCAGTATTTGGGGCACCCTATTGTCAACGACCCCATCTATAACATGGAAGCTTGGGGCCCTGAGAGGGGGAAAGGTGGGAAGATCGATAAAACGGATGAGGAACTCCTCAAGGCGCTGGTAGACGAGCATCGTTCCAAGCAAAGCCTGGATATCTTGGATATTCCAGAGGAGGACTTGAACTCTGTTGCTGAAAGTAAAGACTGTGCTAATTTAAGTGACTGCACAAAGTGTGTGCAGGCTGATCCTGTAAATGAGAACTGCCCTGCCAGGGACGCTGGAGATGTCAGGAGGGACGCTGGGGATCCCGAGGGAAATCACAAAGCACCTTGTCCGTTGGACTCTGATAGCAACCTGGAAATGCTGGAAAAAAAGGAAGAACTTGGTTCATGTGAGAGCCAGGACGGGCAAACGGGAGAAAAGGGTTCAGAAGAGAGGGACCCTTTGTGCGTGGAGTGCAAAACGTCACGGAGGGACCCATCTCCCAAGGAGCTGGTGATGTACCTGCACGCCTTGCGCTATAAGGGAGCAGAGTTTGAGTATTGCTCCAAGATGCCCGAGTGGGCGATGGAGGACTGGGAGGAATGACCCAGGACAGCCGACACGCATGGACATCGTTGGCCAGGAGAGCGTCTCATGAAGCCTCAGATGTGCTTTTTTTTGATGTTGTCGAGGTGAACAAACTGCCCGTGACTTGAGCTGGGCTGGGAGGGGTAGTTGGGGCTGGGGAGTTGTCGTGGCTGCCGACAGGCGCCATAAAAGATGAGAAGGGAGACAGGGCTGCAGCACGAGCTTCGTGTCACCCTTCCGGGGCTGCAGCACGAGCTTCGTGTCACCCTTCCGGGGCTGCAGCCCCGGCTTTGTGTCACCCTTCAGGGGCAGCAAACATCACCCTTCCGGGGCTGCAGCACGAGCTTCGTGTCACCCTTCCGGGGCTGCAGCACGAGCTTTGTGTCACCCTTCAGGGGCAGCAAACACCAGTGGGCACGGGCAGCTTGGCCTTTCACCTCGGCGTGGGCCGGGCCTGCTGTCGGTTACCCACACTAATTAAGGTAATTAAGTGCACGCACTGCAAAGTCGCCAACGGCTTTTTCTGGCAGCCTCCCATGTTCTTGTGTCTTACCATAAGCGCTGCTGGAATGTTGTTCAATGTGCTGGATGTCATACACAAAACTGTTTTTACTGTATTTTATTGTCAGACTGATTATAAAACTTGAACGTTATCGCTGAGAACACTGTAAGGTAAAAGCAGAGCACTCTGAAGCTGATCCCTGTTGTGCTTACTGTCAGTCAGCAATTTGCTTTGAAATAATTACTTAAAGCTGGTTATTGGAGGGGCAGATCTCTTTTTATTGCGCCTATTTTTGGAGGTACTAGTCCCCAAATTTTGCCCTCACGAGATTTATAAGGGGACTGATTTAGTAGTTTTTTTGCTGTGACACATCTCCTGCTTTCTCACATCTGGCTTCTCTTCTGAGATCCTATTGATCTCTGTCCCTTAAGCCTTGTGGAAAACATTTCCATGCTTGAGCAAAAATCCAAAGTACAGCCCAGGCTGCCAGCCCCTATATTTTTTTTTATTTCTATTTTTTAAACTGTACTTTAGGCTGGTTTTTTCTGATTGGTGTGAGATTGTTTTTAATATTGCTTCAGTGCAACAAACAGTTTTAGAGGAAAACAAAAGCTGTTTAATAAACCAGGATACCTTTTAAAATACATTTTTTTATTAATGTGTTTTCCAGCATGATAAATGCCACTACAGTTGTTATTTTTGTCAGTGAATATATGGCCTCTGGGAGGGTAATTATAATAACTCTGCTGTCTCAGGGTTTTTATTTATTTTTTTTACTTGTTTTGCTGCTGACAGCCAGACCCTTCACTTGGGAAGAGCTGTGTTGGCCAGGAGTGTTTGCAGGCAGTGGGCTCTCACCCTGTCACTCCATATCCCGCTCCCCACACCCACTCCTGCGTGGAATAAACAGAATAAACCAGTGCTTACTTCTTCCCTTAGCTCAGAGTAGCCTGGTGATTTCTCTCTCTCCTGGATCATCCAGCTGATGCAGTTTCCATAAAAGTTCCCTCGGGCTTGAGCTTTGCTCTTCCACATCCAGCCAAGGGTCCCTTGTGATCCCAACTGAACCACAGGTACATTGTTTTCTGCCATCAAGTCAGGCCTAGTACTTAGCTACGTGCAGCTTGTTAAACACAGGAGATAAAAGGTCCCCTTTGCTTGAGAGATGATGCCAAAAACTAGCATCATCCAGGTTTTTCATGCACTGAAATATGTATTTCATGTAACTGTAAATGAACAAACTCGGGCACCTTCAGTGTATCCCTAAAGGTGTCTGCAGCTGTTACTGGCTTTAGGTGCAAGGGAAAGGCAGTTGGTTTAGGCGACGCCGTTTTAAATTACTTTGGGGTGTCCCAACTTGTATTTTTTTTTTAGTGTGTTTTTTTTGGGGTGGTTTGTGGGGTTTTTCCCCCCGCCCTGTCAGAAATAAGCATCTGAAAGGGATTTTACTGACTTGGGCCAGTGGATGGAGACTGGATGACTGAAGGGTCTGCCCTGGAACCGCTCAGTGCTGTGCTTCGTTTTAATGACTGCACTTAGCATCGTCTAAATTACCACACCTTGCTGGTCAAGAAACCCTGGGTCTTCAGTCTTCAAGATGCTTTGAACAATGAAGATTTAAGGTTGATTTCCCAAGGGGCCTACCACACTCGCATCGTACTTCGCTTTGTGTCAGTTCAGAGCCGGCGTCCGGCCAATCCGTGCTCTAAACGAAGTTGGCATTTGCTGTTTTGCTAATAGGGAAAGTGTTACTGTTGGAGACATCCTGTGATAAATTCCCATCTAAGGTTAGATCCGAGGTAAACGCTCTGTCCTGGCTGGGGGGCGACGGTGGGTATGAAGTTACCCGGACAAAGTAGGTGCTGGAACAAGTTCCTTCTCGAGTAGGGTTTTACTCGGATGCATCTGTAGACTTGTGATGTGGCCACTCTGCACAGGATTTGGTATAATCTCGTTTCTGTGAGGGTTGAATGTCTTGGTGCGCACCTGGGGGGGCTTGCAGAGCTGCTACAGCCCCTTCTCCGCTGCCGGGATGTTTTGTAATGGCCGGAGCAGGGTTTAATGGCCGGAGCAGGGCGGTCTCTCCTGGGCGCTCTGTTTCACCAACTTCCACACTCCTTAAAAGTGAACTATTAGAGAGGAAAAGCTTTCCTGTATCTCTTCAATACGATAGTTTATGCTTATTTAAAGCATAACTTCATGAGAAGCGAGGCCAAGTGCCACACTCAAGTTTCTGACGCAAACCTTGAGGTAATTCCCAACGAGGTGCTGGGATCGCTTTGGCCAGAGCTCCCTCAGCCCATGGTCTGGCAAATACTTGCCCAGAGCTCCCGCTTAGGACCCAGCCAGCCCGAATATGACGCTTAATGGGAT